CGTGAATACTCCTGCATACCACTTTGTCAGAATCTTTAAGTCAAGGCCCCTGTGACTTGACCTTTTACCAAGGTTATTGGGAGGACAAACTTTTTGAAGTCAAAGTCCCTGTGACCTTGACCTTTGACCCAGTGACCTTAAAATCAATAGGGGTTACCTAATGCTCATGATCAACCTCCATGCAAAATATTTATGAAGACTGTGGGTCAAAGGAATCTTAAGTTATTGGGCGGACAAACTATTTTTAGTCAAGGCTCCTGTGACCTTGACCCAGGGCTTCTGTTAATGGAAGCTTGGGAGTCATTTACTCCTTGATTTTGGCTTGTGACTTCCAAAATTTAATACTTTTTCTTCTTTACCTATATAACGTGACTTCCAAAATCAGAGATTTTGCAGTCTCTGACTTCCAAATTTTGAAACTTAATGGAAGCCTTGTTGACCTTTGACCTTGTGATCTCAAAATCAATAGGGATCATCTACATTCATGACCAATCTAAATAACAAATATGAAGACTGTGTGTCAGAGGAATCTTAAGTTATTGGGGAAAAACCGCCGGACAGACCGACAAGCTGATTCCAGTAAACCCCCCTTACAACTTTGTTGTGCGGGGCAGACCCAGTATACCCCCCTTGCAACTTCGTTGTGTGGGGTTATAATAACTGTTTATATATACTGTCAGTGGAAAGCAGGAGTTCTTTTACATTTAATTACAATCACCATATAAAATTTAAAGTCAGTACAATACAAACACGACAGCTGTTTACAAAACATACTTATTTGCGATATAAATTATCTTTTTTTAAATATATCAATAACATTTTTATCAAGTTCTCACCTTCACAAGAGCAATCTTTATGTATTCACTACCTAAATCCACAGACATCACAGCCAAATGGGCATCTAAAAATATATGTACAATTACTATAATTTAGGCTAGAATGACATACATGTACATGTACTTGTAGGCAGAGCCCATCTTCAAAACACGTCTACTGGCAAAGAGTATTAACAGATATGCCTATTTGTAACTTAGTAAATTATAAAATAAATACAAATTACTCAACATCTATAGAACAAATGCAGTTTAACACACTCAAAAAATATATGCTTTAGCCAATAAATTGTAAAACTGACAGAATTATATTGAAGCATCTGTAAAAAAGGACACTTAGATTGGTTAATGATATTTTTCAAACCCATATATGACCAGATATTAAAATGCTTATTTATATCATCAAGAAATGATAGCTTAGGACATAATTTTTCAGCAGAACTTTTATCTTTTATCTGCTGGGAGAGCAATATAGGCATAAACAAGGCTTTCACCTAATTCACCCTTGCTGATAAGCCCAAGTTTAATTTACATGATAAATCATTTGCATATCAAATTTCACAATTTTCCAAATCAATATTTTCTCATGACTTCATAGTTACCTGAGAATTTCAAACCAATTAACAAAATGGTTGCTATGACAACCAAACTGTCTCGCCACATCATTGATCAGTCTGTAAAACAAAAATAGAAAAGGTAATTGGAATACAAAAACTGAAGACATCAGTAAATCTTAAGTTTGTCCAATATACATACAAAACATGTTTCATTTTAAGGTAAATAAGTAAAAAAAAATAAAGTATTAATTTTGACTAAGAAAATACTGATTTTTATACTTCTGTAAAAATGAAACATAGCTCGAGTTTTTGGTTTGACCTGTAAAAACAATATTAACAATCTTGTTGTGTCTGCAGATAAAATGTGTAACATTTTTCTAAGATCCATAGTTATTCCATATATCAAATAAATGAATAAGTTGAACCGTCATTTGTAGAGCGAGTTTTAAAAAGTTTATTATATCAAAACTTTTTTATGCCAATTTTGGCAAAATCAGGTCATGTTATCACCTTTACATTTTGTCACTAGAAAAAAAATGTGATATACACTTAACATATGCAAATTACTTCTTTATGATAACTCATGATGTTGAAGTATTAGTCAATATTGCCAACCCTTAAATTGGCATATTACACCTCAGGGTAACAATTTCCTGGGTCGACAATATCCACTGCAAAGCATGACAACTCTTGACACACGTGAACACTCTCCCTCATTCTCTCCCTTGGGCCACAACGTGAACATTTTGGTAGAGATGGCTTTAGATGGTGTTTCATGCTTTTAGCAAAATATCTAAACTCTTAACACATATCAGCTTTCAGAAGTTTTATTTCTTATAGTCTTTACTTGATCCATGACATTTCATCAACAGATAATTGACTGAATGGAAATTATGTCTTATTAGCAATTTAGTCGACTATTACATTTTTAGTCCTGGCTTCTTCTGATGCAGTGTCAAATATTTGGATCAGACACATTACGAACAGCATTAGAGATAGCGTGCGTATCAGCGTCATTTACGCAAGCAAATACTCGGGATACGCCAGCTTCGTCATCATTTTGGCGTATATATACGCATAATAATTACAGTTTACGCATTTAGTAAACAAATTTGGCGTAGGCAATGTTTACATTGACACCGATAAAAATGACTGACTGGTTAGCGTACTGTTCTATAAAGGTGTGTTATTTTCTCAGCCTGGGTTTATAATTGCAAACCAGTCGACTTTGTATCACTGAGACGCTCGGTAATAGATGTACATAAGATAAATCAAGCGTCTGTCAGGTTATTGAAGTAGACGATAAATATTGTCAATTTTATCAAATTATCAAGTTGTATACATTGATAATGTCTTGTTCGAAACCCAAACAACGAAAAATGGGCCACAGAACGGGTTCTCAACATCCAAAAGTCTAACATTGAACGGTAAAAAATCAATTAATTGCAACCTTTTATTGTGTACCTAGCTCCTATTTTTTAAAGAAAAAAATACAATGAAACTAAGTTATGCATCACACCTTATTTTATTTCATTTATATGTAAGATAATTTACTGTCCTTTAAATTTAAAATAAAACAGTAATCTCAACATGTAATCTGGTACATAAATGGTTGATTATTAGCCCACAAGCTAAAAGAATTCAGTGTGGGTCACAACTGTTTATATGTATACATTTACTTCATTTCACATAAAAATGGTTCAAGTTCTAATAATATGCCTTAAACCTAAATATAAATAACACCTTGCCATGCTGCAATATTTCTGATAAATTATAAAACTGAGAACAGTTTTTGATTTTTTTTCAGGCTGTACTGTATAAATATAATGTATCATAATATGCGGCAAATTGACTCCCAAGTTCTTAAAACTGAGAGTCAATTTTACTCCTTCATTTGGCCAGAAACTGGCAGTTTACTCTGAAGTATAAAAAACAGTATTGACTCTTGAGTAAAAATAATTATCTAGAACACTGTACGAAACCTAAACAGAATAGAATACATTTGTTTTACCTTATTTTTCATTTGCAAATACCTTCTTTCCAATTAATTCTTGTGCATTATCTGATAAAACAATTATTTTAACATCATTCTATACCATTTAAGGTATCAAAATATTAATACTGTCAATAAATTTGCCTATTTAACTGTGAAACATCAATTTCATCGTTTTGTGCCAGCTATGTCATTTAGGAGCTATGCAAGACCTCATATGGCATAATTTGTGGGAAACACTGTTACACAGTGCTCTAGCAACTGGGCGATTTGAGCCACATAGTGTCACCTTAGTGAAATAACTGGTTAACTCCTATTACATTTATAAGGACTAAATCCATTACTGCACTAAGGTAATGATAGTTGCTTAAAGTTTGTGAACTTTGCTGAGTTTGAACATCAAAGCAAAATCGACTTTGCCGCGTTTTTTTTTTACTAAACCATTTTTACTGATCTTTACGTATCTCAAAGTGCCTTCAATAAATTTAATCCTAGCCTCCAGGCATAACTTAAACTAAACTGGTGATAACACAGTTACTTCCGATTATTGACTACAATTTAGACATCTATGTGACATGATATGCAACTCCAAAATTCTTTCAGGCATATAAAAACAGATTTGAACAAATGGAAAATAACTTGCACATTTTTGAAAGAAATTTTGTTTGTTTTTATTTGATTGAAAGACAGACCATCTGACGTTCACAGCTTGATTACAGTCCAATTACTTTATATCTTATTATTCATTACATGTACTCAAAACATGTACTCATTTAATAAAAAAAAAATAAAAAAAAAGCTGCATTTCATTTAGTATTACTATTATGTACATTTTTTATATATAACTTAATTAAAATATATTACTCAGTAAACTGTAAAGAGATAAAACTTTTTTTTCAGATTAAATCAATGCGCTTTCTCCATATGCCTTCAAACTTCTTCCTGATGGGAGCTGAGGGTGAAGTCACTTAATAATTCAAAATTAATGTTTCTATTTATTTATTGAATACAGAAGTCAGTAAATTTTCTTTTTTCACTATTTTTCAAAAAGTAAGGAAAAAAAAGCACATGGTATTTGTTTTTTTAACCATCTGAGCTAGTCAACCCTTAAAGGTCAATCTCATTATCATGTGGTCAAACATTTTGGAAAGATGGAGGCCAAGTGCTGAATTTTTTTTACCAATAAAAAATTATTTGGTTACTTTATCAGAGCAACAGATAAGGTGCGTATTTGCGTATTTACGCAATTAATTTTATAAAATACGCAATTGATTTTTTAAGAATGCGTATCAAAACCCATTAAAAAAATTAAAATACGCAATTGTCTTAAAAACCCGTGCGTATTGTCATTTTCATCACCGCAAAATTAATCTGTCGTACACTCGTAGTTTTGGACAAATTATATCGATATGCATGATATCCGAATATTCCCGAATCAATGCCAACTAATCAACGGTCTCCGGTCTTCGACGGTCCCCGGTCTCCAAAGACCGACTAAGCATGAGACCGTCGATTTGTCTACTCAGGTTGACGGTCTTTACAGACCGGCAGAGACCGTTGATTTTGCGGAGACCGTCAATAAGTAGGTCCCAGCTGTAACAATAGACGCTTTGAAAAGCAATATGGCGTCGTACAAAAGGGAAAATTATTTGAAACAAAACAGTCGCAAATAATCAAAAATCAGTCAGAAAACGAACTTGTTAAAAATATTATGGAATATAACATGAGCATTTTATATAAAAATAAAACAATTGTGAAAAGTTCTAGTAAATTGTTAATCCTATTTTCTTTTTAAAACAGTTAAGATATCTAAATTTAATTTTATTGACATAAAATTCATATCTTATAATTGAATACCCAAATTGATCCACGGATTTATATTACAGGGATCGGACACTCCCAGTTAACCCTATATAAATGCTTAAATATCTTGTCGTGCACCCGATAAGGGTACATCGATCGATAATTTATAGGCGCTAAGCGAAAATGCCCGTTCGCAACGGATACTTACTTTACAAAATACCATGTAGCTTTTCCATTTATTATCCGATTTTTGAAATTTAAAGTTTATTTTCAAGAAAAATGCTTGTTCAATTCAAATATCTAATTTATTTTTTAAAGATACAGACTATCTGTCCGCAACGACGATTAAGAAATTAACTTGACGAAATCCGCGGTAAATTTACATTTTTTATATAAAAAGCAGATATTTGAAATTTATTATTACGGTAACATAATAAATTCAATTTCAAAATAAAAAAGAAGCCGATGGAAGTTATTCACATGCAGTTGATCAAAGATGCAATATTTAAGATTTATTTGGTTATGTAGTCAAATTAATTTATGCACAATTGTTTTACGGGTAATGTATTGCAGGCTTTACAATTCGCTCAACACGTGAAGTAAATTTATTCATCTTTTTAAATACAAGATATTGCTGATATTGTCAATACATGTATTGCCATTTTCATAGGATATTTAAATTTTCTTCATCATTTATATCATTACTTTCAGGGCTCACACTGGCTCAAATAAAATAATAGCCAATAAATTTTAACTTAAAAAAATAATAGCCAAAAGTTCAGCGGACTATTCACGAATTAGCGATTAACAACATAAGCAGTTGATAAAATAAACATTACATTTATATCTTTCAGTTTTATAAGGATTCTCAAATAAACTGATTCATTTGTGTATATTGATAACTACCTTTTTTTTTAATAGAACCACAACTTTAATTGTTATTATAGAACAGAATAAAAACGTTATAATTAGTATAATTACTGTATAACAATAATATTAAAGATTCATTATAACTTTACATAATGCTATTATCAGACAACTTTTTTTGTTTGTTCTGATCAAATTTTGTCAGCTATAACCACTGTCAATTTCCACATTTCACACAGAACTGGAGTAGATCTAGGTCATATTAGCCTATAGAAATAACACAAGTTTGCAAACTCATTCACAGAATGCAGCCTTTTTTCTGAATAATTTACTGAAAAATATCATCATCACCAATGTAATACAAATTTTCTGCCATAGAAGTAAAGATTTTTAAACAGAACATAGCTTATTTCACCTTTAAATAAATATCAAAATTATCGGTGTCGCGAAAATATGTGACAATCGGATTTTTCCTGTTTTCTGAAGAAATATTCACAATTTTGGTTGTTGTGCAAATAGTTGTTTGGAATTAAATACTTTTTAAATATTTTACCATTGTTTTCCACTGGCGATTTAGTCAAGTAGCTTAAAACAAAAAAAAATCAAAATTTGCTATTACTGGAATTCACGGTAAATTTTGGGTAAGTCAATATCCAGTTTATCAATTTTAAAACGATTTTTGTGGCTAATTGACGGATCTTTGATGGCTATTTTAAATGCTGGACAATATCTTTAAAGTACTTATACAATCATGCTGGACAATATCTTTAAAGTACTTATACAATTATACATCTCGCATGTATTTTATCACCTCGGGCAATATAGTTAGCAGCACCTGACCGGTAAAAAGTTGACACTCAATTAAATGCACCCCGCTGGTGCTAATTGGGTCTACTGCGTTCATTATCGATTTTTACACCTTATATAAACACTGTTGGAAGTAAAAAATAATCGCCAGATTTTGTAGCCAAAATGCAAAAATAATCGCCAATCTTATAAAATAATCGCAAATGGCGACTATGGCGACCGACAGCGTGAGCCCTGACTTTTTTTTTTAAATCTCTTTTCAAATGTCGGTGCAGTGAAGTAGACACTCATCGTAACAGTAAAGTACTCTCGTGTGGCTGTCTCGATTCCGGCCTTTTTAATGTCACTCGTATATTTTAATTATTACACTTGTATATTTTAATTATTCTGTTTATTTGAAATTCAAATTGAATGCCTGTAGAAAGATATTTCTGATATTTTTTAATGTAACGCTAAAAAACAATAAAAATCTTTACAGTTTGAGTCAGTATTATGCGAAATAAAAGTAACTGTTGATTATTTTTTACACATCGCTTAAATTTCTTTGAAGTTTAATTACTTTTGAAGGGGGTTAATTACCAGGTAACATGTGATAATTTCAACTCTCAATCTTCAAAAACAAATAGAATTTGAATGTATACGTGTTAGTGGTCTTTAACTACAGTCCATGGCATGTGTCAGGGCTCTCGATTGACACATGGATCCGGGTTTTGACTCGTGAAAATCAGGAAATGCACAAATTTGACACGTGATAAAATCTGCACAAGAGTCAATTTGCCAAGTGGGATTTTCAGCTATGCAATAATAATTACCTTCAATCTACTCCTAATTACCTATCAAATCCTACATATTTTCAAATCACACTCAAAAAAATGTCACCGTGTGTAATACACAGCATTGTTTATAGCCTGTGCACTGAAGCGCGACATCATTGGATGCAATTTGACAGCGCTAAAAATAGCTCTACACAACTGATAAGAATTACATACTTGAGGTGTCAATTATTGATTGCTTTTAAAGATTTATGATACGTCTTTGATTTACTTGGAGTGCCTGTACATTTGTTATTTCCATTAAATATTCCTAGTGCATTTTGGTTTTTAAAATTAATATGATATATATAGCATACCAGTAAAGATATTTTTTTATAATTTAAACTTTTAATCAGAAAAGCTGCTGCTTAATTTATTCTTTCACAGTAAAGATTCAATTCATTTTTTTGTTTTTGTTTTAGTTGTCTTTTTTTGGGGGGGGGGGATATATATATATATACATTATAACTAGGCATTTTTTCCATGTTAAATATTATCAATTTAGACTTGAGAATCTACACAAAATGACCTCCAATACAGTAATTTTTGTAACATAAAAATGATTCATGTAGTCAAATGACACTTAAGAAAAAAATTATTTGACTCATGAAAATTTTGGCCAAAGAGTCTTTGACTCGTGAAATTCTGACCCTACTGAGAGCCCTGATGTGTGGTAAGAAAATGATTCTGAAGAGGATATATACAAATACAATGAAAATCTATTTTCTTTATTAACATTTATAAATAAAATTGAAAATAAACAACTTAATTTGTATAGCCCTTTCTTTGAAAAATAATGAAAATAAACATATGACAAATGAATCATTTGACTTGAGTTGTGAAGGATAAATATGAAAAAAAAAATCTGTTTCAAAATAAAAAATAATATCATAAAACAGCTGTTCTGAATGCCAATAAAAGTTTCTTCCTTGCCAATCTAATAAATTCATCTATATATGAACGAATGTCTAGAATGATCTGAAAATATATTTAATACACTAATTAGTAGAATATTTACTATATTTATACTAATATTCAGGTAGATCAAATAAAAAATGTACAAATCATTTGGAACTAATTCACGGAAATAAAGATACATTTCAAACATGAATTTCTTTAAAAGTATTTTAGCAATCAAGAAACATTTTTTTGCAATGCCACCATTAAACCATGTAAAAAATAATTATCTTAATCTGAATCGCGGTAATAATCTATGCTTGACGTAAAAGGGCGTCAAAGTGTAGAGAGTATGCCTAAACAATAGGCGAATAATTTTTGAATTAGGTACTTTTTAACTAAACGTCGCAGCGTTCTATCGGCATATTTTCATATATTAATACTTTAGCTGCACAAAATAATACTGTATCAATACATTCATATGTGTATAATTTTTCACAAAGCTGCAATAACACCACATAATCTTGTGAAAATCTGTCATATTTCGCACTCCGCGCGATGCGCGAGACTGGACTTTAAGCTAAACGAAAGTGTCCGATCCTTGTAATATAAATCCGTGATTGATCTTAAAATCATAGGGTAACGAGTTTTTGAATACCCAATTAAATGGAGCCAATACCCAATTCCAAAGGAAATGATGGAGTAATACCCAATTCACTTTTAAAGCTTATCTGTTGCTCTGCTTTATGTACTTAGGTCACCAACAGATTATCATTATACATAGTTTTATACGCACTTTACTATTACTACACAGCATGATAGATGATAGCCTAATTCAGCATGAATAGTTTGTCCAGTTTAATTAACCAGTACGCCTAATTTTAACTCAGTTTTACAACAAAAACTGTCAAATTTATTTTTTACTGAAAAAAATTGAAATGACTGCCTTAGATCCGAGTGAGAGAGCAATGAAAAAATATCATATGTCATGAAATTGAATGAAATTATGCGAGCGTCAGATTCCTGGCATTACTGGTAGACTTTCACTATGGATCTGTCAGCATTCACGTCATGTCAAAGTATATAAACGGGTATGCTGAAGACCTTAAGCTATGATAATTTGCGAAATTAGAAAAATTAGCTGAATTGTCATTTTGTTCCCAAATTCCATCATTTTTCCCCTCCAGGTACCCTAGCCTCTAATTGAGTAACAATACCTGTTTTCAGATAAACTATTCCACAGAATTTCAATTTTACGCAAGTGAAATAACATAATGTTTACTGTAGGGTACACAAAATCACAATACCCCACCAAGTTTATTTACACCTGTCATCAGAAAGATTAATCCACGTGTATAGTTTTACCGATTAAACTGTGAATTAAAACAAAAAAAGCTGAATGAAAATGAAAAGAATGTAAAATATACCTTCGCTTGATGCAATTATCAGATGTTTATATGATGTAATTACACAATAAATACGTTATTATCGAACATTAATTTACCGGCAAATGTGTCGCAAACTGATTGGAGTTTTCTGATAACTTCCGGGTAGGCGTGCGCATGAAATTACACGTAAACTTCCGGGTGACCCAGCAGGTTGAACGGCACTAAATTAAATACTGATGTGGTGAAACTGAGGGGTTTTCAGAATATTCTCTCCCTTACCAGTTCCTTCCCCGAGTTTCCTCTGACGGTTCTCTCCCTATTTTCTGCGAAAGCTATGGCCAGAGTGGTTATGAAACCTGCATATCACAGATATGATGTAAAACAAATTTAAAAAACAGGAAACATGTATAAAATACAGTATTCAAGTAAACTGAAATCGCCAAGGTTGAAAAAGCCAATTTGAAAGAAATAAAAGTACAAACAACAATTTTGTCGTGCTTAACGATCTTCAAACTTAATGTACGGTTTGACATTTTACAGCCTCGACAGGGCACAAACAGCACCATTTGTAACCCCGGCCACCACTCCAAGGAAAAGCAGGGGATGGCTGCGGAAAGGGTCGATTTACTTACCTGCCTTCCTTATCCACATTGGAAAATGTTGAAATGTTTCTGTTTTTGACGCCAAAATGACCGGAAATCATGATAAATGCATGTTGTATTGTACAATTCTCAGCGAAGTATTTTAAGTGAAGATTTAATCAATACATTTCGGAAACGAAAGTTAAAGTCCCGCTATACATCGGGTGAGGGATAGTGGTGAACACATTACTTTAACATAAAATTTTCATTTTTTTTTCAACAATTTTGTACTGTTAGTAGATCTATTTCGCAATAAAGACTTATATGTTTGCAATAAATTTATATTAAAGCAGACCAATATATTAGACAGACCAAGGAAGTCGAATTGTACATGTGTATGTACATGTACTTTTAAATAGTGTCTCATTATTTAAAAGCTCAAGATTTGTTCTGTTTTATGATACTAAGTTTACTTATTTGCCATAACCGTGTGGTGAATATAGCACTACGTGTTGCATGCATATTTTCAAAATCATTGCCAGAATTTTATTTTATTTTTATTTACATATGTGTTTAAATAATTTTTGACTTGCAGGACAAGTGCTGTCATAAAGTACTGGGTACGCTCATGTTTTATGTGTGCATAATTATCATAATCGTATATGCAAATTCTTAATGGCACTAGTATACGTACTAGTTTCAGCGATGGTAAAACTATTTATGGTGTTTACTTCATTGCCTGGCACACTGAACAAGAGGTTAAGTAACTGCGGAGAGCTTTGGACACAAGTGTTAGACGAGTTATCGAACATTCCTTACACTCTTATAAATCACAAGAATAAAATTGATGTACAACATCAAGTAGTCCCGGAGAAAACATCAAGTTTGATCAAAAGTAATGCTCCGAATTATAAATATAATAACAACTTCAAATAACACTTAGTTTGGGGATAACTTTCAAATACTGTATATATGCTACTGATTTTCAGGAATGGAAATGATTTAGTATTTTCTCTGATATGAATTATTTCTATTATAGCTATCATGGTATTTTTATATACGTTCCTGATGCAATTTGCCGTTCACATCTTCTTCATAATAGAAAAATCCTGTAGACGCTAGGGCGTCAAAAATAAATTCACTACCTTTCCAAATTAAACTTATTGCACTCAATCTCCCCTAATATGATGCAGCCAGCTTCAATATAATTGTTCCACGTACTGATTTTAAAATTCTTTCTTCCTGATAATTTTATTTCTAATTTATTTAATAGATCAAAAATAATTTTAGAAAGTAAGTCTTAAACGTTGACTACTATAGTCCAGTCACACATTTTATTTTACCTGGCCTGCATTGTTACTTAGTTAACTTTATTACAATATATGTTCAAAATGCATGCTTTTATATCTTAACTAAATCCTTTCACAATGATCGTATCGATTTATTCAGGGAATATACATAAACACATACAATAGTATCACATATATCAACTTGCATTTTTATAAAAACACACAAAAATACAACAAAATAATTATAAAATTAATCCTAGGATTGCCCATTAAGCTAAAAGCTTATTTCCAATGGGTCCATTTACTGTAAAATTATCACTAACTTATATAATAATAAATGAATTATTAAGAAGTTAAAATAAATGACAATTTTTGCAAAATTGTTCAAGACACATTTTCGATATAATAAAACAAGTACATTGTACACAAACAAAGTGAAATAAATTCCGTATATAAGCTAAAACATTATCAAATACAACATAAACATGTTACAAAACTTTATCATAAGTAACACATCAATTTAATAATAAATAAACATATAATTCACTTATAACACATCAATTTAGTAATAAATAAACATATCACATAATTTTAATAATAAATAAACGTATTATTCACTTGTTTATCAGTTTCATTATTTAAGAAAAGTTTTACTTTAGATATTTTCGGTTGACCTAATATTAATTGGTAAAGAATTCCAGTCATTTGTGGCATTGTAGAAAAATGTGTTTGTAACATGAGAATCATTTTGAGGCAAAACAAAATTAAAATTACTAGATCTTAAATTGGATACATACGTACATATATACACACGCACGCACGCACGCACGCACGCACACACAATCGCACACACACACACATATCCATGCGTTATTAACATTTAAAGAATAAAAGTAAGAACTCCAATTTGTTTGAGTCAAATCCGCAATGCAATTTGTGTAGAGTAATTTTCAAGAGAGCGTATGTTAACATATTTATAATACTGCACGTTTGTAACGTCACTTTTCATTGGATAATCGTGACGTTTATATAGTTTTATATACACGGCCTCTGTCGACTCATGAAGAAATCTGACTTTTTTCTTTAAAAAATGATGTTTGCTGTATTATAAATTCGTTATAAAGATTGTTGACAGGTTATATGGCCGTATATAAACGGCTGTTTAGCGGCTCGGGTTATATTTACAAATAGCCGTTTATATAGGGCCATATAACCTGTCAACAATCTTTATAACTAATAATATAACAATTAACCGGATTTTTTATATATCTTTCTTGTACAAAAAGTCATCAAAATGATCGCTGAACCCAAGGAACCCCAGACTGAGACACTCGTTCTTTATAATTGCAGAGAATGTGATCTATAAGGCTTGGAACCCGTATTACTAATTCGTGTCGCTGCTTTTATAATTTGCTGAAGATTTTTTAAAACTCAAAATGTTGCAATATTCTCTAAATGATGACTAGAATGTGCATTTATCAATTCGAATAGCTGTTATTAATGAATTTTATATCTCAAGTAACTTGATGGAATTGTGTTGATCGCAATAAAACATAAACAGTGAATTTGCTATATATTTATAAATTTGAACTTCATTTTAAATTCCTGGAAGGATTTTATTTTAAATGACCGTGCGCCTTCCGATAAACTGTTTAAAATCTTTGAATGATGACCTCGTCAAAAATTTTGTAATTTAACAGTTTATATATGTTTTCAATTTTATTACCAAAATTTATCGACGTGAAGTAGTCGCGTGGAAAACAAATAGCCATTTGTGAAGGAGTTTGTTCTCTCTCGTACAATGTTTGTCTCGCCTTTCCAATCTGCTGATCACTTCAATATTATTTATAATGTCACATCAAAGGCTTTACTAAAATCATATTTGTATTTAAGCTATTCAAGCAGTGTTCCATCTAAACATGTAATTTTTAATGTGAATCTAGTGAAAATGGAATATGTTCTATGAGTTGTTATACTGGATCACCGACCTGTGACACATTATCTACCGTAAATAGTTTATATAGCAGAGAAGAACTTTATAAAAACCCTCCTTTTTAAAGAGTCGGAACAAATTCAAGCTTTATATGTTAACGGTGTGCGGTTGCTAAGGGAAACATTTATTTAAGGTAAGATTTGTTTAATGTTTTTAGATGTTTCAATAATTTTTTTGCATGTATATGCATTGGATTAATCGCTGAAAGATGATGTTTTGAAATTGGGTTTTGTAGAAAATATAGTGTACTTTTTGCTATTGTTCAGGAATACTTATAAAGAGACACAGTGCGAAGCAGCAGTGTGTCAAACATTAAATAAATAGATGAATTATTCATTAAAGACGTGCACAATATTAACATGGTCACAAAATGCATACATTCAAATTTATTAAAGTAGATATAGAAATGAACGTAGCTCGGGATTAAAAATGAATGATTTAATAGATTGCCAATCTAATCGTAACAAAATCCACTGATACTTGTTATTTCAGTTTATGGGCCTAACATATCTTATTTGATACTGAAAATGGTACATTTTCACAAATGCACCTACTATTTTACAGTTTGAAAATATGGATAGCAAAGGAGAGCTTCAGGTAAACACTAAAACGGACAGTGACGATGATATTCCGGATATAGATTACTCCGATCCTGTACATATGACGCCCAGACCCAGCACGCTACGGGCGAGATTGTCTCACCCATCATACAACAGTCTCATTCGCAGAGAAAGCATTTCTCGTCTAAATAAAGACTTATTTAGTTTAGTTAAAGGAGAAGAAGTAGCATTGGACGGATTTTCAACAGATAGTAACTCTTCAGAAAATGATAACAAAAAGAACGAAAAAACACCCAAGTAAGTACACCCAAGCTATCGCGACTTCGTGATCTTCGTACTTGCCAGCTTTTTAAGGTATGACCATTCTAAGTCATTGTCTCCGCGTTGGTGCTAGAACTACTGGTAACTATATTGAAACTTAAGGACGTGGGTTCAAACCCCAGAAGGGTCAACTTTATTTTTTTATCTTTTTTCTTTTAACATTATTCACGTATCTCTCATATCGCTTTTAGGAAGAAAAAGTGTTTAATTTTAACTATTTAATTAACATGGGTATTCATTGGCTAAATAATGCTAAATCTAATAACAAATAACGAACCGAATATTTTCAAAGTGTAATAAAATCAAAACTAGACGATAAAAGTATTTAATATTTTACAAGATCAACCAATACACTTTTGAGAAAATTTATGGAAACTTTGAAAACAGGCACTCATTTTGGTAAACTTAAGGGATTTACATGTTAAAATGTGTGGGGTAGGGTAACATTTTTATACATATTTCATAAAATTTTAGCAGAAACAATCATTTTGCTTATGTGGATTATTAGCTGAATGGTACTATTTGTTTCTTACCAAACTTTAATGGGAAGACATTTTTCATAAGGATAATATTGTAGATTATTTGAAGGTTCCTTATTTCTGAAAAAATGCCCTTCTAACATCCCAGCTTCTGTTCATAACTCGATTTCCGTACTTGGATGTGTATTAATTGCGTGGCAACATATTTTTTATTAACTGTCTATATTTTATAGTCGTGTCATATCTGTGTGTCTGTGACCAACATCCCCTCGACCAAAACCTGAAATGACCAAAAACCCACGGCAATTTCGATTGAACAATGGCATTTTAAGCGTTTTCCCGTTAATTTTTGGATGATTGGTATTATCTATTGGTAATCGGCAAAGTGTTCCAGATGAAGAAAGAAAGCACAAATAACTTACTACATGTAGTTGTGGTAGTTGTTGTTGTTGTTCATACTTTATTTTTTTAAACTTTTTTTAAATTTAGGCGAGTTAATTTCATCTATTCACAGAATATGGAGAAGTTGGTTATGAGAAAATCTCTTTTTCACTGACGTTTTTTTTGTGGAATCCACATATTGATGGCTTTTATTCTTTTTCTATTGTGTCAAACTGTAGAATTGTTTAAACCAAGTAGGCCTAGTACAACTCGTCTCCCCCGGTCTCAGGCGCATTGGGATTTAAATTCCGATGGAGATTTATTCTAGGTCAAGTGTCTCTTTTGGAGGACGACACATGCCATTTGAAGTGACACATAATATGTCACATGACATTGTCACGAACTTCTATTGTATGTGCCATGTGATTTTCTAATATGATTCATAATTGAATCCAATTTTATGAACTTAGCCTCGTTTGCATTTTCAGTGTACAACAAAAATACATATCAATAACATTTTACTTTATCTAACCTCGTTTTCATTTTCGGGAACAAAATTCAATAACAATTCATTTTACTCCGTTAAAAATCTATATGTACTCAATTTTAAAATGTCAAAACTCTGGTGATGAGAAACGAAGTGATCCATATATATATTTTTGAATATAATACTGGTCTCAATGGGTTCGTACACAGCTGCAAATCGATACCATATTTGGCTAGCGCCTCATTCAATGTAGGTTTGATGGTTGTGGACTTTTTACTTATTTATTTGATATTGTACTTATCAACACACGTAAAATACACGTTTCGAGGTTCAAGCAACAAGAAGAGCTTGATTATTCACGGAGCCAAAGCGAATAATTCATGCCATAATATTTTCTTGAGATGAACTTATGCAGCGTGATCACAAAAGCTCTACTTTAACACTTGCCAATATTTGCAGGTCTAAACATTGTCCGTTTCATATAAAAGAGGACGGTTGTTATTGACAATTCAGTTTTATCTTAATTTAAACTTTCACTAAACACTGGCCCTCTGTCAAATAATTTAGAGACATTAGTGACTTGGGCACACAAAACCAATAAATATTAAGTTAATGAAATTTCTCAGTAATCGTTTTCTGAAAGTCTTACTATATTTTATATGGGTAAGACATATTTTATATGTTTATACAGCAGAAGGTCTGTAGCATTCTCCCTTTTCAAATACATGTACTAAATTCTTTCTTTTCAAAAGATGATTATCTTCTGTGATTTCTGTTTTTTTGTTGTTTTTTTTTTCAACGAACTATGTCTGTTGCGGGAACGAACGATGCCACAGCAACGCGGATTTGACAACCATTGCAAAAAAGTCAAGATAGCATGCCCCTTGAGACCTACTACAATCAAAATCAAAAGTTTAATTTTCTGATCATTATCAACCTGTCAACCTTCGGCTATCAAAATTGTGCAGCACGAAGTGTAGAACAGGATAATGCATGACCATATTGTGCAACGGTTTCACGCATATGATTTTCCAAAGAATAGAAGTTACATTGTTTTATGAAACTGATATTTGACCAGGTTATTTCATTTTAGTTGAACGAAACTCGTACTTGGCCGGACAGATTCCACAGTTGATACGACTCAGATATTAAAATTGGCTTAATTTAAAACTCATAAATAAAAACATATCAATACATACGCTGTAAAAGGACTCCAATGAGATTTTTTGACATGAAGGGACCGAAAATATTTTTCAAGACTTTTGTATAACTTTATGTAGGTCTAAACCAATTACTTGTGAGCATAATTTTAGATCATTTGTTGACTCCGCTTGTCTGGTATAATAAATTTTATTGCGCAAATTGACTCCATAATGAAAAGCGTTGCAACGCTTTTCAATCAAATCTGCCGGAAAACCCGCATTAAAACCGAATATAAACATGTATTCACTTATTATCTATGGCGTAGTTTTCCATTTTAAGTGCATCAATTAATTGATAAAATAATTATAAATTTCATTATTTTGACTATAAGATCTCAGTGGAGTTCCTTTAAAATAAAAACAAAGTAAGACAAGGACATTAAACAAGTGTTTAAACATAGTGGTGGCAGCACGAAGATTGTCCGGTGTTATAAACAACCGATGTCCGCTTCGGTAATTTGAAAAATGTGTACTTTCTTTTAATGCGGTCATTTTGAGATTTGAAATTAAAGAAAACGTCATTTCTCTTTTTTCCATTAAAGACCTGAAACTACATGTAACGTTTTCATTAGAAGAGAAACTGTTCGTCTTTTTATAAGAAAGAATAAATGATATTTAAAAAAAAAAGATAAAAAAAGATTAAAAATGGACACAAAAGTCACATAAAAAAATCAATCATTTAGTTTATTTTAGAAATATTACAAAAAATAAAGATATGATATGTCTGACTGTCTTTTAGACGAATGTGACAAATTAGTTTGTGTGACCAATACCTGAAAATGGAGTTCATCATTGACGTCATCCATGTTTACGCATCGTAAATCATTATCTTTAATGCTATAATACACTTTAAATTTGCCATCTAGAATTTAATTCTTTGATCACGGTATCCTTTGTTACCGTAATGGTAATTATGACCCTAACGACAGGTTTAAATTGTAATCAATTTTCATGTTTTCATTGAACAAAATATGGAAGCCTAAATATGTGTCTTTTATTTATATGTTTATTTTGCCATCAAAAGTGACTTCAATATTGTTTGGTCGTATTTGCTCGTAATGGGAACGTCAAAATTGATAAATGACAGAAAAGGTAAAGCTAAAACTAAATAAGGCCATGGTATATTTGGTTGCTGCTTACTTACATGATTAGAATGATTGGCTTTATTCGTCAGTTCGTTTAAACGCAAAGATTCAGTTATAGACGGTATTTATTGTCCAAAATATATATATGTACTTTCTCGAGCGATTTTAAATTAGAGTTTTTCTATAACTAGTCGACATTTTTATTCGATTTTATGTTAAGTAATGTAACACACATGTCCGGATACAATGTTCGAGCATTACTGAGCTTCCAGTGCTTATCTGTATGTCTCAAAATACATGTAGATATGATACTATTCTTTCCTTGACTTTTTGTGTAACAGAATAATTAGTACAATTTGCAGAATGTTAGCTATCAATTTAAAATATACACAAATATTTGCTAATATTCCTGACACAAGAAACTATAATGAAACTTTGTTTGACCTTCGTTTACTATTCAATGATTCCAAATTGAATAAAAGGGGGTTCTTTTTGCATATATAAAAAGACATTTTGCATTTTGATATAAAGTAAAATCAATACGCCCTTTGAACTGCAATATTCCATGAGGTGTTAATAGTTAGAATAGATAACACCGTTTTGTTCATTTTTAAAAGGACGGATAGACAAATAAATTGTTAAGGAAAAATCTATACGAGAAAAAGTTGACGGAATATTCATAAATCATGAATTCAATATAATGTCAGTTAGAGAATATTAATGAATTAAAAATATGATAAAGCGGTACATGGACGTAACCGGTTAATCTAAGTGCTCGATCTCGTGCTGCCAGACTTGTAGAAAATATTAACACTCATTAGCAGTAATGGAATTAAATGACAAAATATATAATATAATATCAGACACAAACAAAATATCAATCATCATCATTGTCACTGTAATAAGAAACTTTGCTTGACAAACTTACCAGTAGACACGTCTACAGGCGATATGGTTTATCATTGTCTATAAATCACTACTTGTTTAATTAAAAACAAACTAAAATTCTAGTTTTGGTAAGACTTTGTACGAATTAGTTTTACGCGCATTTATTTTAGGGAATGAAGACTGATATATGGCAATATAAGAATTATCAATTCTCTGACATAATGGACTGTTTGGACATAATAAAGTGAAGACTAAATAAGACAGTGGAGTAGTTTAAACATTGATAAGGCGAGGGAAGGATTTCTAATTTAATCACTTGTTATGATATTATACTTTTATCTGTGTGAACAGTTTACTAAACGGTGTTACATGCATTCCTTTCAACTTGAAAATGATAGAAAAAATGAAATACTAAAACCGGAAATTCTAATTTAAGAAGTTGTATAATGACCGTGCGATCACCATTTTTAGACACATGTTAAGTAGTGTTCATGTTGAAAACTAAAGGATGTATGTGTGACATTTAATACAAATAAAGGCGTAGCACTATTTTATTATGGCTTCATCAGGTCCAAAGAAAAATATGAATAGTAGGAAGAGGTAAGAATCTAGAACTTACTTTGATGATCTTCTATAATTTGAGTATACTCGTGATAGAGGAGAGACGTTGTGCCAATTGTATGTTCTAGCGGTGACGGGAAACCTCTCTTCCAATCAAAGTTTATTACTTTAATACTGTAACTAAGAGGACAATTATAGAAGTAAATACAGGGTTATTAATTTGATAAGTAGTTTGATATCATAAATACTGTGTTAGGTCTATTCCTGACATATAAGTAATTTGATTTCATAAATACTGTACTAGGCCTATTCCCGACATATAAGTAATTTGATATCATAAATACTGTACTAGGCCTATTCCTGACATATAAGTAATTTGATATCATAAATACTGTACTAGGCCTATTCCTGACATATAAGTAATTTGATATAATAAATACAGTGCTAGGTCTATTCCCGACATATAAATAGTTTGATATAATAAATACAGTGCTAGGTCTATTCCCGACATATAAATAGTTTGATATAATAAATACAGTGCTAGGTCTATTCCCGACATATAAATAGTTTGATATAATAAATACAGTGCTAGGTCTATTCCCGACATAAAAATAGTTTGATATAATAAATACAGTGCTAGGTCTATTCCCTACATATAAATAGTTTGATATAATAAATACAATGCTAGGTCTATTCCCGACATAAAAATAGTTTGATATAATAAATACAATGCTAGGTCTATTCCCGACATAAAAATAGTTTGATATAATAAATACAGTGCTAGGTCCATTCCCTACATATAAATAGTTTGACATAATAAATTCAATGCTAGGTCTATTCTCGACATAAAAATAGTTTGATATAATAAATACAATGCTAGGTCTATTCCCTACATATAAATAGTTTGACATAATAAATTCAATGCTAGGTCTATTCTCGACATAAAAATAGTTTGATATAATAAATACAGTGCTAGGTCCATTCCCTACATATAAATAGTTTGACATAATAAATTCAATGCTAGGTCTATTCTCGACATAAAAATAGTTTGATATAATAAATACAGTGCTAGGTCTATTCCCGACATAAAAATAGTTTGATATAATAAATACAGTGCTAGGTCTATTCCCTACATATAAATAGTTTGATATAATAAATACAGTGCTAGGTCTATTCCCTACATATAAATAGTTTGATATAATAAATTCAATGCTAGGTCTATTCTCGACATAAAAATAGTTTGATATAATAAATACAGTGCTAGGTCTATTCCCGACATAAAAATAGTTTGATATAATAAATACAGTGCTAGGTCTAGTCCTAATATACACACTAAATGTATTCTTAGCAATGCTAATTTTTTTATTTTACCAAATAATAAAATTCCGTTTGAAGGCGTTTGTATAGGTTATTTTGATAAACGCTACTATTCGCTGAGATAGATGTATTTTTATAAAAAATAAAAAATACGGCAAATAAAATAAATGATAAAATTTACACACTACCCAGTTATAACTCCACCACGTTATAACCTTAACATCATTTTATTTCTACCCCATTATAACCCTAGCCGATATAGCTTTCTTCCCCGTTATAATCCAAATACCAGTTTATTTCTACCCTATTATTACCCTAGCCGTTATAACTTTCTAGCCCTTTATAATCCAAATACCATTTTATTTCTACCCCGTTATAACCCTGGCCATTATAACTTTCTAGCTCGTTATAACCCAAATACCATTTTATTTCTGCCCCGTTAAAACCCTAGCCGTTATAACTTTTTACCCCGTTATAACCCAAATACCATTTTATTTCTACCCCATTATAACCCTAGCCGTTATAACTTTTTACCCCGTTATAACCCAAATGCCATTTTATTTCTACCCCATTATTATCCTGGCCGTTATAACTTTCTAGCCTGTTATAATTCAAATACCATTTTATCTTTACCCCGTTATAACCATAGCCGTTGTAACTTTTTAGCCCGTAATAATCCAAATACCATTTTATTTCTACCCCGTTATAACACTGGCCATTATAACTTTCTAGCATGAGCTTGAAAGTTATGACGGCCAGGGTTATAATGGGGTAGAATTAAAAATGGCATTTAGATTATAACCCCGTTATAACCCAAATACCATTTTATTTCTGCCCCGTTATAACCGTGACCGTCATAACTTTCAAGCTCGTTATAATCCAAATGCCATTTTTAATTCTACCCCATTATAACCCTGGCCGTCATAACTTTCAAGCTCGAGCTAGAAAGTTATATGGCCGTCATAACTTTCAAGCTCGTTATAATCCAAATGCCATTTTATTTCTACCCCATTATAACCCTGGCCGTCATAACTTTCAAGCTCGTTATAACCCAAATACCATTTTATTTCTACCCCATTATAACCCTGGCCGTCATAACTTTCAAGCTCGTTATAACCCAAATGCCATTTTATTTCTACCCCATTATAACCCTGGCTGTCATAACTTTCAAGCTCGTTATAATCCAAATGCCATTTTATTTCTACCCCATTATTATCCTAGCCGTTATAACTTTCTAGCCAGTAATAATCCAAATACCATTTTATTTCTACCCAGTTTTAACCCTATAGCTGTTATATATAAATTTCTAGCTCGTTATAATCCAAATACCATTCATTTATACCCAGTTATAATCCTACACTGGTATAAATTTACCCGTTATGACTATACCCAATAGGTTGGGTTATAATTTTCAACTTTTTTCACCAAATAAGTTTTTTTATGTAAATAACAGTTTGTTTTTGTTGTTGTTTTTTTTTAAAGAAAAAAAAGTCTGGGGCGTGTTATATTATATTTGAAATCTGAATGTATTTTGTATATCTTAATAAGTAAATATTTTACTACAGTAGGGAAACTATATGTATTTACTGTGAGATTATAAAATGTAATGCGACGCCTAATAAAATAAATAAATCATGAAATAACAACCCTTTTATATGTATATAAATTACGCAACTATTGACATAATTAACTATGTAAAGCTTATATGCAAATTCTTTAATACTGGTAGATAATTTATATTTTCATTTGTCAAAATTATTCTACAACATGTGAATAGAATGCATTGTTTAAACAAACGTTCAGATTGTATCTTTTACCGTACATATTAAGGTAATTGGATAGCATTGTCTAAAAAAACGTCAAGTATAACTTTGTGATGATAATTATCTCCCTTTGCAGATATCATGTCCTTATTAAGTGATTTTTTTTTTGGTCAGGAAATATGATAATGATGTCGATTTAGCTAAACATTATTACTGTTACAGGATACTAATTGCAGCGTCTTAAATTTCCCTGGAAAAATAAAAGCTTTTGGCATTGTTTATAATTGATGTAAACGTTTCCTTTAGTCCTAATTGATTTTGTCTTTGTAAGCAGGCCAGGAATACCCTTGATGTAAAATATATGTGGCAATTAGTAGAAACATATAGAATAGAGGTTTTGTAAAGGATAGTTAAAAGTCAAACACAATCTCAATTGAGAATGTTAAAGGACTATCGTTTAATGTTTAAAAGGTATGATGTAAGTTTTATGTTTAAATTTTATTTAAATTACAAGCATCTGTTTAAGATGAAGATATTTTTTGTTACAACCAAAGAATCGCAATGGCTGTGGACAAGGCCAGTCGATTTCTGGATTTTTTCATGGGTATCAAACTATCTTAAAAAAAATATAAATCGATACAATCAGTAGTGATCGGTGTTTTATTTCAGGCGTGCATTTCAGCTACGTCTGTTTTATATTTACTTTGAGAATTATAATATTTCATTAAACTTCTAAAATCCCTTTGACGTTCATTGTGAAAGAAAAACAAACAAGTGTCTTTCAAGATTGTTTAAATGTTTAAACTTAACAGTGCAAGAGTGTACAGGTGATCAAAGGATCACCAACCCTGTCCAATATTTATTGAGGATTAATTGTTCCGCTCCATAGATACACTTGGTCATACTCTTCGTATACATTCTATTCTGTATACACGGATTGAATTTCGGATATACTATAAATGGATGGTTTATGAGGATTAAGGTAATTTACTTTTGCAATATTTATTTTAATACAATTTTATTTAGTTGGCTTTCTGGAGCAGGTGCAAATTTAGTTTAACGTTTCTTCTAATACATATACAATTACAATATTGTATGAGATAATCGCCGCCATAAAAAGTAGAAAACATGTCCATTTAAACTGTTAAATATTTTATTTTCTTACATTATTTCACATAATCTCGATGTATACTAAAGACTGTCACTAAAAGAACTGTTCAATATAGACATGATAAAATATTTGAATTAAGTCATAACCGGATAAGAGACATATAAAACATTTGGCATTTTGAGACAGATATTTGTACTTCTTATTAGAGTGGCAAGATTTGGTAAATATATTGCATAAATTAGATTTTAGGATATTTTAATGGCATTCTATATTGATGTGAATGGAGGATAAGAAAGGTTATTCTATGACGCATACATCTTTATCCACATCACCATGCTGGCAGGAATTTCTTCATGCATCCTAATCTTTACAACTATAAAGTTTGAATAATAATAAAACACTACATGTCCACCAAACAAACGAGTTTTCTCCCTGTCTATATGATGTACACTAAAACGAAGGTCATAAAACAAATTTAAAAAATATTGGAAAGGATTCTAGCAACATTTATTTTTTAGTTGATATTGAGAACATAACTTATCATATAGCAAGTTCTAGATCTATTGAAGCAAACTATGACTAACACGAAGTCTGTTCATGTATATCTCCGTACATCTATACAACAGCAAAATATAGATACATTGTATGTCTTGTTAGGAAGATGTAACATTGGTAAGAAACAGCTCTAAAATACTCCAATTTAATTTATTTGATATACATGTACCTATACGGTGCATTCTGTATATACATGTTAGTATACAGTGCATTCTGTATATACATGTACCTATACAGTACATTCTGTATATACATGTACCTATACAGTACATTCTGTATATACATGTACCTAT